TCTATATACTATGTAAAAGAATATTTTAGGTTTTACTTTGAAATTTATTTTGTCTTTAATATAGACTATATAAAATGTTAGATAAGCATGTTAACTCAAATCACATATCCTGCTTTTGACTCTCTCTCTCCCTCTCTCTGTATATTAGTTGTTTGTGGAATTCCTCAGTAGTATATATTATTATTGGAAAAGTATCTCATAGGTTAAAATACTTGATATTCAACAATTAGGATGCAGGCTCTATTCCTGGTTAGCGTTTTTTTGGCAAGTTAGTTTTTTAATGGAATGGGGTCGCCAACCCCATGCCCAACCCCTCCTCCTTTATCCGGGCTCGGGACCGGCAGTAGCCCCGAAGGGTCTACTGGCGGAGTTAGGTTCTATACCTGCTTCACCTAATTTAGTGTTTGCAGAACAAGTAAACATCCTTAGCCGTCACAATAACAAGATGGCTTAAAGATCAGTGAACAGATTTGTACTGGACTAATGAATAGTTATGTTCTTTTTTTGATACTTTCTGTATCTATATTTCATTTATTCCTGTTATAAACCCTTCAAAATTATTGATAAAACTGTTAAATTCATAATCTCATTATTAACTGTTCACTTCACTGAAGTAAGTTGTGCTGTTTATCTCTTTTTTTAAAACAGTTGTGTGTTAAAGCTTTTCCTGTCTCCAAATCATTCATCTAATTCTGTTCTAGTTGTTGTTTTCAATTAGAGCTTTGGAGATTTGTGTTTTTACACATTTGAAATCATCAATCAATCATTGTTCTAGTGAGAAAACGTGACCGATGGAGTTCAACCCTGTCGGGTGTAGGCAGTTACTACCAAAGACAAATGGGTGAGGTCGTGCAAAATTCCTAGATCAATCAGAGTTAGACATTAACACCGTTGAATGCCGACCCAGTGGTACGATGGTTAGGCGTTCGCGCACAATACCGAAGGTCCCGGGTTCGAACCCTGCGAGGTGCATGAGTCGTGGATGCTCACTGCCACTGATGAGTCCCTTACCAGGACGAAACGACCGTCTTTCAGTGTTTCCAGGTTTCTAATGGTGGTCTAACAATGATTGATTGATGATTTCAAATGTCTAGTTATTGTTGTTGTTGTTGCTTTGAATCATCCTGATATGTTCGGCACTTAGGATGCTTGATGCTATTACGAGTTTACCTTAGTCGATAAACGCGAACGATGCTTTTACCAGCTTCCAGGGAGGCTACCTTGAATCCAACGGTAAAACAGAAGTCTTGGTAAGCGTAGAAAGTATATTCTACAAACACCCAGCAATCCAGTACAATCAAGCATACAACTCTCGTTTATTTATACAACATAACAACGTCCTTGAGACAGTTAAGAAAATAGCATACTAAAATACACTGTAGCCAATCACAGCCATTGATTTTCCTGGTGGGAATTGAAATCTCAGGGTCATTTGATCAGCCCCTGCTGGCGAAACGTAAAAACCAAAATACGGCATTATCATGCGAATTTTGGGGATCTAACATCCCCAACACTCCTCCCCTTTTTAATAGCTTGTTCTCCTGGGGTCGACTTGCATCTTGACTATTGTTCGCCGCTGTCTGAGGGGATACCTTCGGGAACGAAGAACAGCTGGCTGCTGAGTTTCTTCTCGTGGCGGGGCTCTCGGTAGGTTGAAGGTATCAAGCACGATGTCAAGGGGAAGGCTTTCTGCTCTTGATGGGCGATCTGGGGCTAGCCGTCTGCGTATCTGATTGCGATGACGTGACCATTTATCACCTCCTACCTCTACTTCGTACATAACTTGACCAACCCTTCTGACCACTCTCGCTTCTACCCAAGGACCATGGTTCGTTCTGTAGTCGCGGGCAAACACAGGGCATCCCACCTCGTAAGCGGATTGTCTTTGCTGCTTTGTCCCTACTGATGAGGGTGCATTGGTCGGATGCATCAGGCTGTGAATCGTTTTCAATCTTCTTCCCATCAGGATTTCAGCTGGGGACTTTTGCTCCGGTAACAATTCATTTGGTGTTGTCCGATAGACGTACAAGAAATTTTGTAACGTTTCGGCTGGCGTCCCCTCCCCTTTTGACTTGAGCAGTGCTCTTTTAAACGTATCCACAAACCTTTCCGCCTGCCCATTCGATTGCGGGTGGTATGGTGGCGAGCGTAAGTGTTTAATAGCTAGCCGTTGACAGAAATTCTGGAATTGGGAAGAGGTGAATTGAGAGCCATTGTCGGATACGATCACATCTGGTATGCCATTTCGTGAGAAAATTTCAGTTAGGAGCTGTATAGTCTTAGTTGTAGTGGGCGGCATAACGGGGCTGATTTCTGGCCATTTAGAAAAGGCGTCGACGACAATTAAATACATAGTTCCATTTATTGGGCCAGCGAAGTCGACATGTATCCTGGACCAAGGATGCTCAGGTTTGGGCCATGAAACCGGCGGAATTTTGGCATTCATCTTTGCCGCCTGTTGACACCGCATGCATTTTTCAACCAACGCTGTGACATATTGATCCATGTGAGGCCAGTATGCATAACTTCTGGCTATGGACTTCATTCGTTTAATCCCAGGATGCCCAAGATGGAACTGTTTCAGAACTTTTGCACGAAGGGATGCTGGCACCACTACTCTTTCACCAAACATCAGACAATCGTTGACGATGCATAGTGACTCCCGCCGCTGATACAGTTGCTTCATGTCACCTTCAAACTTTTTCGACGGCCAACCTTTAGTGACATATTTCATCGTCATCTTGATGATGGGGTCGTTTCTAGAAGCATTTTGTATGTCTGTTGCAGACACCGGTAATGCGCGAACTGCGGTTGTCAGATCACATTCTGCGTGGTCTTCTACTGACAGGGATGCGATCACCATGTTTTCCTCAGCCGCCTTCGTATACGCTTCTGGGTCATGTCGTTGTGATACCAGGTTGCATATGGTATTTAGCGGGACATCAGCCAATTTTAGCTGGTCGAGCCAATCTAAACCAAGTAAATTTAGATCAGCTGGCGTTATATAGCATACCCCAGTAAACGACAAATCTCGGAAAGCAACTTTACATTCCAATTGTCCTAACAGACGAAGATAATTACCACATGCTGTACGAGGCTTTTGTGTTGTGTGTTGCAGGCTTGGGCTGCCTAACTTGGTCCAATTTTTGCGTGAGAGGATAGTGACATCAGATGCAGTATCTATTTGCATTCTACACAAATAACCGTTTTTAATAAAAGTAATAAATTTCCTCTCACCTGGTGATGAGCTTTGGCAGGAAGATATTAGGCTCAATGCATTGGTACTGGATCTAGGAACAGGCTTCTTTGCACTTCTGGATCGCTTTGGCTTTTTCTGTAGGCAAAAGCCATCTTTATGACCGATGACTTTACACTTCCTGCATCTATGCTGCCTAAATGGGCAGTTCCGTACATAGTGCCATGAACCGCAGTGCCAGCAAGCAGAAGGTGGATTCATTTTGGGTTTTTGGGCCGAATTGGAATTTTTCTTTTCACTAATGGAATGCACGTATGATGAGAGGCCCTTGTTTTCGACCATGGAGGTATCATGCTTCAAGTTTACTAATCTCTGGCACTCTGCAGTTATTTCTTGAAGCGAGATGTTTGGGCACTGTTCAATTTTACTTAGGATTCTGGTTCCTATATCAGCATCGTCGGGAGATTGTAAGCTGCACACAAACACAAGGCACTTAAACTGATCTTCCGTCATTGATGATAATTTAAATCGTTCGCATTCACGATTTACTAAGCCAGCATGCTTTACCCAGTCATCTTCATTTGACTTGATTATTTTGAGGCATTGATAACGAATATTAAAGAGAGATGACTGTTCAGAGAAGATTTGCGACAGCGTATCAATTGTAGCATCAAAAGAGAAATCTCGTGGGTTCTTTGGGAGGATGAAATTACTGTAACGTTCGTGTTCGATTGTGCCGAGCTTTCTCAAAAGGATTCTGACTTTGGTGGCGTCATCAAGATTGTTGAGGTCGACCTTGAACAAATCCTCATACTTCTTAAACCAAGACTCGAAAGTCACACCAGCAAGGCCATCAAAATGAAATTCATGAATGGAATTAACTATCGAGTCTGTATGCGGATTATATGAATCATCGGCAAAACCTCTGTGATTCAAATTCATTTGTTTCATTAACAGCTCCAACATACGTTCCTGGAACTGTTCATATCGTCTACCTTGACGTTCCAGTAAAGATTCTAACTGTTCAAGATTAATTGACATTGTGAATTGTGAGCCCCGTCGCCACTGATATGTTCGGCACTTAGGATGCTTGATGCTATTACGAGTTTACCTTAGTCGATAAACGCGAACGATGCTTTTACCAGCTTCCAGGGAGGCTACCTTGAATCCAACGGTAAAACAGAAGTCTTGGTAAGCGTAGAAAGTATATTCTACAAACACCCAGCAATCCAGTACAATCAAGCATACAACTCTCGTTTATTTATACAACATAACAACGTCCTTGAGACAGTTAAGAAAATAGCATACTAAAATACACTGTAGCCAATCACAGCCATTGATTTTCCTGGTGGGAATTGAAATCTCAAGGTCATTTGATCAGCCCCTGCTGGCGAAACGTAAAAACCAAAATACGGCATTATCATGCGAATTTTGGGGATCTAACATCCCCAACACATCCAATGAAATTTGTCCATGATCTTAATTTATCATTTCATGTACTAGAATTGATTACATATATTTCATTGCATATTACTCAATACGTAAATTATTTCTTCAATTCATCTGAGTTGTTTTTTGCAATTAGTTACATTTACTAATTGTCAGAAATACATTCATCAGAAATAATTAACCAATCATAAGAAAGCTTTGTTTTCTTACCGTAACTACTATAAAATAGCGTATAATTTCACAGGTTTAATTATTATTATTTTACACATTGTATACCAATACACTTCATCATCATCATCGTTGTGATTCTTTGAGTCTATTTTAAAAAAAAATCTTTATTGATCGTTGTTTCTGGATGGATATCAATGCACTTCACTCATCGTCACCATCATCATCATCATCATCTTTCGCCGAATATAGTTTACCATTAATTATGCAAATTCATATTGATGATAAATATACATCAAATTTAGAAAAATATTTACAAAAGAAAATTAAAAATACTAATTATGCTTTATTAATGGAATATGATCGGTCGATTAGATTTCCATTGACTGTAGCTTCCTCGTCATCCTTCATCGAATCAATGTTCTTATCAGATTACATGTCATCTAGTTTAAGAGATAGAGTTTACTGCCTAAATGAAAATACTACTAATCATAATCCATTGTGTTCAATGGAAAGTGTTACACAACCTTGTCACATGTATATGACATTAGTGGAAGAGTTTTGTTATAAATTCAATTTGAATGGATCGTTAACTAGTTATGAGAATTATAAAATGTTTACCTATGATGATTATGATACAAGTTATAAAGAAAATGATAGCTTTTATCGTAGTGATTTAAATTTGGAAGTAAGTTTTGTTTGTTTATTATTATTCAAGGAAAAAAAGGTTGTATAATCAAAGATCTTGATGAGAAATAAATAGTCTGTCTAGTTTCCCCTTTATTTTTAATGTCTATCTATTGAATACTGAAGTTCAAAACTGATTCATAACTCCAGGTTATCAAATAGGCTAAAAAACATACATTTTTGGATTGCCCTAGTTATTCACCGCGAGTCATAATCATCTTATAGCCTGGTGTAAATATTAATGTGTTATTGCAGTTTGACTGGTGAATACAATGTGAAATATACTACTTGAAAGTAATCACATCATAATGTTATTAGGATTATATACCTACATTTTAATATGATATAACTCATTCATCACATATTTATTCTTCAATGTTTGCGGGATATTTGACGTTGGGTAATTTTAGTCGATTGTCAAAATTGAAATGAATACCTAGGGAGTAGAGTGGCGAATCTTTAACACAATGAATAAGTTTAGAATGACTTAATCAGTAGTGATCTTCATGTAAAAGCTAGGCTTACTGTATTGATTCGTTTTTTTATCTACTCAATTATTTATCACCTGATGAATGGATGAAATATATTCATCATGTCATAGGCAGATTCACTTTTGTATTCAACAGTGTCTGATTTCAGGAAGTCATCGAAGTATTAAACTTTATTTGAATGAATATTAAAAACACTGAAAGTCATAGAGTACAGTGCACACACAATCTAATGTACGAATCAATGCAGTAAACAATTTTGCAGTAAAATAACAGTATATTACACTAAATTCACTTATTGGCTATTTGCCAGTGTTCTTCCAACCCTTCTTGATACTTATTTCATTGTTTATTTCCAAACTGTTATATGATGCAGAGAATGTTAAAATAAACCACCACTATACGATAACCTAATGATTAAGGCAGTTTCCATTTCCGTACTTTATTTTAAATTGGTTTCAAGCAAAAAAAAACGGAATATCATTAGATCAGATTCTATTAATGTAGATCAATTTTTGAATACATACATCCATATTTTAGTAAATGACTTAGTACACAAAGACTTGTATTCATTTCCTTATAATAAGCAATCTTTGCTAATTATCATTGTGAACATGCTAATTTTTTGACTTTTGAATTTTTCTCTTAGACTAAAAAATCATTATCTTATCATCAACCACAATTAATTCAATCAACAATTGAATCAAACAAACTGACTCCAACTAAAATTTACATTAAAGATATGAGTATTCAATGTGATATTTTGAAAAATTCTTCTCTAACTAGTAGTAGTGATTCACAAATTCAAACAAATCAAAGTGTTTTCAATGGTTCAATGAATTGTTTCAAACCGATCAATTTATTCAATAAGTAAGTTGTCTATTGTTTTTTGCTTTTTGTTTTATCAATATGATTTCATCACTTTAAAAGGTAATCTCTCATGTGGCTTAAAATTTTATTTAAGAATAATTTATATGAAAGAAGAAAGCATTCTAAGTGTTCAGTTGTTATCAAGGGAAATACCCAGTGACTCAGTTTATCTCATATACAGTAACGGTTTCGACTAGATTTCAAATTCAAGTAACTTCTTATTGTCCAGTTGCACTGATCTACTGTTTGACACTGGAATATACACTCAAGTCGGTCAGGTGCAACGTAGAACTTCGTACGTAAGTACATCAGTTCATGTTGCCATACTACATCAGCACAGAGATATAATTGCCAATTCAAATCCAATAGTAGAAGACGTAGTAAAAAGGTATTAGAAGTAATCGGAGAGGTTAGAATTAGAAGATATTATTCAAGAAGTATGATTCAGTGAGAAAAGTTTAGAAAGGCAAAACCAGAGAAGTTGAAGAATCCTGAAGATTGGGATTTGAGAAAACACAAAGAATAAATGCACCGGCGCCATTGCGAACGATTTTGAGCCATGTCATTCAAGGTCTCTAACCATCGATTATTATGATCTCGCGGACCCCAACCAGGTAGTCGACAATTACCGACATGACTCAGTCCACTCGTCAATGACTTCATGGATTTGTGCCATGTTTTGGTTTGGCCGCCCCTAATTTTCTTCCAACCTATTCCTACACTACAAAACAAAGCTCGTCGAATATACACTCAAGCTCGTACATTAGTCAAGCTAGAGTATTGTTCCTATTGCATAGTGAATTTATTAGAAGTGTAAAAACTAATTTAAATCAGTTATCTTTATTGGCTTGAATTACTCTGTCTACGCGGATTAGTCACGGATGTCATAGCTGGTAACTATGATATGTATGTTCATCCTAGAGACGATTTTTGTCAAACTTTGATCATCCGAATAACAAACACCAGGAAATGATAGCGTTCTGTGGATTTGAATCTCTTGTTGTGTGTGTACCAATAATATGTTGAGCCCACAGGGCTTGTCTCAGCTTTCGAACAAGCTAATTAACGTTTCCTACCTGAGTCATTATTTACTCGTCTTTCAACCTTGTCTACTATTTTCTCATATCCTTGGTTTTTTCGAGTGTGTAATTACATGCTTACTCAGCTTATTGCATATCTGGCTTATTTTTGCCGACTCGAAATACTTAGTCTTGTGTTGAGTTGACTCAGTTGCCTTCCCCACTTCGCTTTGCTTTGCCTTTATTCTCCGTATTCTCATGTCTATGTGCTTAAATTGGTACATGAAGCAAATTCATCCCCAAAACCGTATTTGGCTTCTTATTACCGCCGTCGCACAAACGGAATTCACCTAAGTATAATATACGGAAATGGAAAGGAAGATTTATTTTTTCACCTACTCGATCATTCGATCACAATGGAGTCAGATCACGGGCTATTAAAGTGGTGAACCCTACATAAACCTCGATTGATTCTTTATGTATCAGCGATTTATTCAACTACGTTATAGGTGCTGATTCATATATTTTAGAGCCTTTAGTTGACCGCGTCATATCACAGAATCTTATCACTTAGTGACAGTAGTGACAAGGATAAACATATATTATGTCGCATTCGAATGTGTTTTTTGCTCGTATTTTTCTCAGACAATCAACACTAAGTATACGCTAGTTAGCAAATCATTTTCAACATTTAACATTAACTATATAGGCATATGAAAGACGTTTCATTTGATTGTCAGAATCCTCTTATAGTGAGTGAATTCCTCATTGCTTGAGAATAAACAGTAAAGTTTAGATTGTTCAGTAACCATATCATTTTGAAGTGATTAACGTATTCTAGTGATTGTCTATTTCTAACTTATGTACGATCTTAACCTACTTATTCATTTTATCATTTCAGCCATAACTACGTCATTAATATCCGTTTGTTAATCATACTTGTTTTAATTGTTATTACAGATCGAATGTACATGATGTGGGAACAACAACAGATGGGATTATATCCGAAACAGGTTTAAAAGCAAAACATAAATCTATTCGTGTTATGGTTCGACCACAATCAAGAAATGTTAAACTTCAAACACCGCTGAATATGATACCATCTAATATAATGACTGGTTCAAACAGTGTGAGTAATGTTGAGACAGTTCAAAAAATGAGCATAAAGTAGTTACTTATGTTAGTTTTAAATTTTCCGTGTAACAGCTCGGTAAAATTATTTAAACTCAGTTGCGAAATTACTCAAGGTTACTGAATCTGGGACAACCGTATAAGCAATGCTGTCGTTAGGAAACGAGTTCTAGGTAGGGACGTCAAATCAATAGATGAAGTAGTGAAACTTCATCAGTTGAGGTTGTTGGGACATGTGCTACGTATGGCTAACCACCGACTGCCTCGACGAGCTATGTTTTGCGGTGTAGGAGTAGATTGGAAGAAAGCTAGAGGCGGCCAAACCAAAACATGGCAGAAATTCATGAAGTCACTGACAAGTTGACTGAGTCATGTTGTTAGGTGTAGGCTACCTGGTTGGGGTCCGCGAGACGATAGTCACCGATGGTTAGAGACCTTGAATGACATAGCTTAGAATCGTTTGCAATGGAGCAGGTGCATCCATTCTTTGTGTTCTCTCTAATTGTAACCTCCTGCATTCCTCATAATCTCTACCTTTCTCCTTCTAAATTTATCTCACTGAATCATACTTCTCGAATCATATCTTCGCTCCCTAATCTTCTCCATTACTGCTAATACTTCTATTATTGCTATCACTGTTGGATTTGAATTGACAGTTGCGTCTCTGTGCTGATGTGGTATGACAACGTGAACTGATGTACTTACGTACGAAGTTCTGCGTTGTATCTGTCTGTCTGAATCTGGTTGAGCTATCAAACATTCAATGAGTAATCATTAGATCAAAGTCTCAAACTACTATTGATTTAAGATAAATAAAATGTGCTTAGCAGTGGAATCTGGAACACGTCAACTGTATGTATCTACATCCCTGCTAGTCACTTTTTGTCTATTTCTTATCAACGTGTGTCTGATACTATTCATTTAGACAAACAGCAACATAAACTCTTGTAGAGTAGTACGTTATTCAAACCTGTTGTGATCAGTTAGTGCTATCTTGAACTATAAACCAAGAAGTTTTTGCTTTCCCACATAAATTCATAGTTTAATATTGTCTTACTCTTGTCACACGGAAACAGTTCTTATCTTGATTAAGAGTTAGTAATACTCATAAACTTGTTTACTTTAAAAAACATTTAACTAGTAAACGAGTAATAATTATGTTTTGTAAATAAAAGAGTTTTATGTTTAGATATTCATCCAACATCCTGAGAGAATTGTTGGTCAGTTTTATGGTCGTCCTAGATATCAATGCAACGTACTCCAATGTTGTTTCTTATTTATTGGTCGTCCTGACTGTCAATGTCACAGACTTCGATACTGTTTCATATTCGACCCAAATGTATAAATACGCATTATCTGTAACGTTTGATGACTCTAACCCAGATCTTTAGTACGGGGTCCGTTTCTTCTTCTGGATGCTTGTAGAATACAGGTTCTACTTCATATCAAGTCTTCTTTTATTCAATGAGGGTTGGGATACTCGGATTAGAGTAGCATATCGTGTCGCTGAATCCTCGCTCTCGTTTTCCGATTAAGGTAAACTCGTAATTGTTCAAGCATATCAATTTGACATGTTCACGTTCATGAGTAACATTGTATTTCTTGAATATATATGTAATACCATACTAATGCTCTCTGTACATTAACTGTGGTTCATACCTATTAGCGTTTATACCATGATACGTACGTGTTCATTTATTTACAAATGGTCAGTGGTCTATAGGTTAAGCGTTCGCGCATGAGATTGAAGGTCCTGGGTTCGACTACTGGGGAGATCGTAGATACACACTACCGAATCCCAAACTAGGATATAACAGTTGTTCAGTACTTCTTGATTTTCACCTGTAACCTGACTAATATCATTGTATGATGTTAACTATGAAAATGGTTATTATAATTTAATTACAAGCATTCAAATGATGAAAATTATTATCTGTTAATTTATAGCGTCCTATGAATAAAAATCTATGCATATCCGTGGATAAAACACATCAACAACAAACTCCAACCATTACTATAACCAATGATACTACTACTAATTCTGGAAATAATAAACTAGTGGATTACAACAATCCTCGTATCCCTCAAGTTTTGCCAATTGACATTGATGAAAGTGTTCAATCAATTGAATCGGACAGTTGGATATGGCCTACAACTTCTTCATCAGTAAAAAGTGATAAAACCTTAAGTCAGTTAATTAGTGATACTTGTAATCGTCATATTACACAAGGAAGAATGAATTATCAACAAGAACATACATGTAAATTCTTCTTTTTTATAATATTTCATGATTTAAACGTTTTTTTTTTAATTTATTAAAGATTCTATGTTGCGATATTGTGAAAGAATTCTCAATGTTGTATACATTCATACTGATTGAATATCAATAAGTAAATAAAGACACATCAGATATTTAAGACAGACCAAAATTAATCGATTAAGTTGCAATATAGGAGAGCAGAATGACTTAATAACTCAGTCATTTATTGTTAGGGAACTGGTAACAATTAGAAGTGTTAGACTTAGATTTTAAGCAGGTTGAGATTTTCTGGCAAGGTGTATCCGTATTCCCTAGAGAAACTAACATGCTTTTTGTCAGATTTGAACTTAGGTATCTCAATGCCAAGTGCATCGTATTGATTACCTTTAACCGTTAGAATTCTGTACCGTTGTTGTTGTTGCAGAAGATTAACTGTCAAACAACTTTTATTTCATGCACTTTCTCACAAACTAGAATTCTCTCAATTTACTTTTGTTTAGATAATCAACAAAGTGCCTTTGCTCTAGTCTTTATATGAAGTCCCAAAGTCTATTACTTCAAGCCTTGGTTGGTTACTGATTTGTCTTAATCATTTGACACAATTAGTACAATGACTATTCTTGTTGAAATTTTTTTTCTTTTCACATATTCACGGTTTTCTTAATTTCTGAATATTTGTATAAGCCGATTCGCTTGAAGAAACATCAAATCAAAATGTTGTTCATCTAAATGGTCCCATATCTACTGAATGTACATCCAGTAAATCTACTTTCGATAAAGAGGCCCACATAAGTTTGACAATTGCGCGTTATATGGAAGAAAATCTGAATAATGTCGAACATGATGAAAGATTCTCTGAAGATGAAATTTTACAAGATCTACGGAGACGTCGAACTAACTGTATTTCAAAAATGAGGTAAGTTTGTCACATAAAAGTAGTATTGTTCTTGTTCTACCGAATATATTGACCGAAGTCGGGGTTTTCTTAATTCTGAGAATAAAAATTTGTAGAGAATGTTGTCTAAGAATAGGAAGTGAAGTACAAACTACTTAAAGAAAAGGTAAAATCAATCCTTATGAAATTGTTCAAGGACAGTATCCTAGAAGAGCGTTAAAAGAATTGTACAATATATGCAGGTGTATGTCACTTACAGTAGTGGAGAGATTCCCGACTGTTAGCTAAATAAGTCAGGAATGTGCTTCGTTATGCAATTAGGTTAAGAGACGTAGGAGTTCTATGTAGACTAAATGTCTACGAAGAATTGCCCTTGCTTTGCGAAGAAACAATTTAGTGGAAGATGTAGTATGGTGCTAAATATCTGAAGTTTATTGGCTTTTGTTTACAATGAGGCATTGGTCAGAAGTGTTTAGCATAGTAAAAAGATGTGTCGATTGTCCTTGAATCGAGGAACATCCAAATTCTATCCGCAAAACTTCGTTGATAAAAATTGAAGGGAGGAAAACAGGTTGTAGGAAACTACAACTTAATTCGACTCACTTCAACTTAGATAACAGTTTCATTTTGCTGTAATAATATAGTATGACATTTTTGATCTATTTTATCATCTTACCAACTATAACTCAAGTTTGGTTGTATTATGCTGATAAGCATTGATATTGTTGAACTATATTTGTCATTTAAATTCCAAGCACTAATTCCCACTTTCTGCATGTGGAAGTGAAATATCACAACTTGAACCAATTCACATTCAAGCCATATTCTACCTTGGATTTGACTAACTAATCCGTGAAGTTTGAAAAATAAGTAAGGTTTCAATGGATCACTATTATATTTACAGCTTTTACATTAAATGACTATGCCGAGAATGAAGGCAATTTTCTTTTTAGTTTATCCAATATAATTTATAGACTGTTAGTCAAAAATTGTTTATATTTTTACCATTATTATTCAGAATAGTTATGAAGCAAATTCATGAACGAGAAGCCCAACTGTTGAACAATTTAAATAATTCATCGTAAATAAATTCTTTTTAATTTATACCACTAAATCCTTTTATATGTATTCATTTTCGATATATAACTGCTATTGTATAAAGTACTACTTTTAATAAATACGTTCTACAATTACATCGTTTTAACATAAGATATTTATTCGTGAAGAAATGAAAAAGAAATAATGCGTTAGCAGTTCAGTTTACTTGCAAGCATGATGCAGAACCCGACGGTAACTTGTATGATGGTGTTACGCCTACACATAAACTTGATATACTTGAACTATTGCGAGTTTACCTAGTCGGAAAACGAGAGCGAGGATCCGGTGACACGACATGCTACTCAAATCCAATTATCCCAACCCCCATATTGAGTAAAAATAAGAAGACTTGGATGTGAAGTAGAACCTGTATTCTACAAGCATCCAGAAAGTACGAGGTCCAAATCCAGAGGAGAATCAGGATCCCGGACTAGGGACAGCATCTAATTCTGTGGCATTGACAGTTCGGACGACCAATAGGAAGTAACATTTGAAATGACATTGACAGTCCGGATGACCAATAAGAGACGACATTGAAGTATTTGACTTTGACAGTTAAAACGACCATAATTTTGACCGATAGAAATCGACCAATAGGATTTGACCAATAATTCGCTTAGGATGTTGGATGAATATCCTAACAGATGGAAAATGCCTCAAGTACTTACGTCCAATCTCGGCTTCCTACTTTCATCATGGAGTCTGAAACAGCATGTTCAAGACGCGGTTTTCCCCCTCGAAATGCAAAATGTTGCTTCAGGATTGGTGTGCGACGGCACCTGAACTATTGAACTAGGTTATTAGTATTCAACCATAGATGTCTTCGAAGCACTGCTCGTATATCCTGGGACCACCGAGAAAGCAATGCTGTAGTTAAGAAACGAGTACTAAGTAAGGATGACAGATCAATTGATGAAGTAATGCAACTTCATCAGTTGAGGTGGTAGGACATGTGTTACGTACGCCCAGTCACCGACTGCGTCCACGAGCTATGTAAGCAGGAAGAAAGCTAGTTGTGGCCAGACTAAAAGATGGCAGAAATCCATGAAGTCACTTACAAGTGGACTGGGTCATGTTGGTAGATGTAGACTACCTGGTTGGGGTCCGCGAGATGATAGCAGTCGACTTTAGATGACATGTTTTAAAACCCCTCGCAATGGCGCAGGTACATTTACTCTTTGTGTTCTATGAAATTCTAACCTTCTGAATTAATCATCACCTCTATCTTTATCTTTCTACAGTTATCTCACTAAATTAAACTTCTCGAATCTTATCTTCGAACCCTAGTCTTCTCCATTACTGCTAATACTTCTACTATCTCTACCACTATGTGATTTGAACTGACAGTTGCGTTTCTGTACTAACGTGGTATGACACCTCGGACTGGTGTACGTACGTACGAAGTTCTGCGTCGTAGCTGACTGACTGTATCAGAAATTCGAGACAAGAAAGACCCGTTTCTGTACAACAGTGGTTTTCAAACACCTTTTTCACAAGTGAGCCGATCGAGTTCTTGGATATGTCGGTTAAACTAGAAAGATAGCTTGAAGCTGCTAGACTAGACTTTAAATATCTTCATTGGTGGGTCTCCTCTTCAGCATATCTGTTCAGCGTGGCAATAAGTATCATTAACAATGTAACTCATTTACCAGATACAAATTCATATAATTGACTTTGAGCCACATTTTTCGTTTTTGATATTGATTTAAATTAGGTTAAACTACTAAACTTCTACTTTCGTCATTATGGTAGTACTGTTTTAACCCCCAGATTCACGCATACAGGTTAGCAAACGATTACGTGAACAGTACTACAAAACTATTTAAATTAAAACACTGATACTGAAATAGCTACATCGGACAAACCGGTTTCACAATTCTCTAATACCTATGACATTTTCTTGTCTAATAAACTATCATTTCATAAGTGCATGCAATTAATTGTAAACAGTCGCAACAGGAATAACTTTAGTGAAGATAGATTTTCATGAGCAGGAAGTAAGTTAAGAAAATCTGAAAGTTTATCTTTGGATAAGTTCAACTTATACAAATGTCACGTCATAACACATCAATTTTCAAGGTTGCTGCTAAAGAAATCGTTCTTATCGATAAAATTTGCATGCATATATTTATTTACACTATCATGAATTTTTAAATTATAAAAATAAAAATAAGTGACAACCCATAAACTGAAATAAAATGCAAGATTATGTCAACAACAACAATTGAAAATCAAAATATTTACAACAAAAAAAAAATTCACTTGATTTTCCTTAACCAACAAACACTATTCACTTCAAACATGAAAAGCATCAATCAATTAAATGAATTAGTAGTTATCTAGTAGTCACTAACAACTGTTCCAGTGGCAGCTAACTTTAGTTATTGACAGTATGAACTAGACAGTTACTGAACAGCAGTTGAGACAACCAAAATTATGCCTCTATTGTTTTGATAAAACAACTATTTCATAATTGGAAAACCTAAATTGGCTTAGAAAGTAACAACAACAAATCATCAATTGAAAATGTTCAACCTAAGCAAAATTATTAATAATAGATTAAATACTTTGAAAATCACTTTCTTTTTATAAAACTTTATTGCAAAAACACAAGTTACATAACTAAACTGATAAAGATACCTATGAAATAATAATACTATTACAATGTACATTTGTAAGTGTTAATTTGAACACAGCTTTTAGTCCCACTTGTTTTAATAAGTGAATGAATATGCTGCTTTTTTGTAAAGTCTATTACATGATATATGCATAAGTATACTTTAGTTTTGTAATCATGTTTCATGATAGGAAAGAAAAAAAATGTTCTCTAAACGTTTATTGATATATTCACAAAATTCAGATAAGAAAAAGTTGAATTCTATAAATTAATCAATCAGCAACAGCAGAACACGATAGATACTGAATAAATTCACCAAAAACAAAAAAAAAAATTACGAACGCATAAAACGAAATGAGGTGTGTTGTTAAAAAAAATTGAATTAACAATATTTTGTTATTATTTACAAATAATGAATTTTACATTTTTTTTTCTTCTATGAAATACCTTTCGCTCCAACAAATTGAAAGATGAAATAAAACAATGATTAAAATAATCTCTATGTATTGATGTTCATAATAGCAGGTTGATAAATGTATGCAAGAAACCCAATGAGAACAGACAAAATCGCCATGATACTTGTTAACATCACAGGACGAGAACTCTGTAAATAAAATAAATTAACAATAACAGTAAGTTTTGAATCATTGATTAGAATGACAATGGACAAAGAAGCTTAATAATTGTTAAATTTTTGATAACTAAACACATACGAGAGGATATCAATAAAAGTAATTATCATTTCTAGACAATATTGCCACTGATTACCGCCAGATCACAGAAGCTAACACCATTTTTTTGTGGCTTATACAAAGGAAAGGGAGTAACTATTTACAAGGGACTAATACATACAATGAAGTATGGGGCTAATAAAGGAGGTTGAGCAGCCAAATCAGAAAACCATGCTGAGCCAAACAAAAATATCTGAATAGCGAGTACATGTTATTGGTTAGAAAAGTTTCGTTTCCTAAGGAATATAAATTAGTAATAATGGCTGGTGACTTTAATGCTCAAGTAGGTAGATTAGGTAACAAGGAAAGATACATGGTGGATGTTGTGATATCGTGGTTCCAAGATTAGATAATGGTGACCATCTATTGCAACTGTGCACAGATAATAGCCTATTTCTAGCAAATACTAACTTTAAGCATAAGGAAAAACATCTCTTGACCTGGAGACCCCAAAAATCGACCCAGCTGGATCACAATTCTATCACAATTGATAGAGAGGCTCCATGGAAGACTGCCGCTCATCCATGAGCACTTGTTTATATATATATATATATATATATATATACATATATATATGTGATTTGACTAAGCATGACAAACGTCTTCCTTCACTTTTAGTTTTCTAACTACGTACTCTGTTGCTTGCTTATCAGATTCATAATTAAGTTTGACTAGTCTAGCTCACTAACTTGTATAAATTATGATTCAAATCTACTTACCATCACCAGTTTAACTCGAGATGCAACAGATAGTTTCGTATTCTTATTCTGCTTAATTTTCGGAAACCTGCGATTAACAGACCGTGACCAATGCTCTCGTTCTTTCTGTCGTATGGCTCGAGCACGAGCCAGTTCAACACTAGCCATTTGTGAGCCCGGGGATATTGTTAACACTTTCTGAAGGATTGGGATAGCATCGTCTACTTCGTTCATTTCCAAAAGAGCCTATTGTAAGGGTCGATAAAATACACAAACCTGATACGTTTTTTTATAACGCTGAGTGCATAATTAACGTTCAACAAAAGAAAACTCCTTTAGCATCTATATGAGAATCTTGAGAAAAATATTTAGTCCAAAGCATAGCCAGTTCAGTTAGTTTCTTGCCAAATCTAATTCGATTGGTGGTCAAAAGACATCGATACCAACTTAAGCTATCAGCTGGCAGATGTACTGTTAAATAATCATACCACTACAATAGATTTGTATGCTACAATCAAAACAAAAGTGCAAACAGGGACAGGTTTAAGGCCAATAGCAGCCAATCAAGATCGAGGTTAACAGAACAAACTACGGGTCACACGTGGAGAAATTCGAATACTTCCCATCTGTCTGAAGTTTTTGCCAATGTTGTTCAGAAGAAAAATGAAAGCTCCATAACCAAAATACCCAGGTCAGAGAACGAAACACCACCACAATCATCCAGCTGAGCTACAAATTTTCTCCACCATTTCACAATGATATTGTTAGAACAATAAGAAAGTAATGAAATAGTTGAATATAAATTAATGCGAGCAGATAATCCAACAGAATAAACAATTCTAAGTAAGCATAAATAAATAATTTAGATACTTAGAGATCACATAATTTCTATTTTATATAATTCTGGAAACAACTTTTTTTCCCGTAAAAATACTGCTGTCCATGAGGTGATAGTATTCAATAGTTAGTGACCTTGAATGACGTGGCTCAATATCGTTCGCAACGGCGCAGGTGCATCTACTCTTTGTGCTCTCTCAAATTATAACCTGAATTTCTAATCATCTCTATCTATTTCTTTCTAAATTAATCTCACTGAATAATACTTCTCGAATCATATCTTCGAACCACTAATACTTCTACTATCTCTGCCGCTATGTGATTTGAACTGAAAGTTGCGTCTCTGTGATAATGTTGTACGGCAACATGCACTTACGTACGTACGAAGTTCTAAGTCGTAACTGACTGACCCTAAAATACTCACCACTTGTGACAACAAAATTGTACTATTTCTATTGTTCAAAGCATCCCTGGATGTACTTAAAATTGGGTTGTTTGGTTGTCGGATCATTTTGCGTTTGTAGCTACAAACGATTTGCTGGGAGTGTGCACAAATATCTTTAGTATTTTAGTTTGAGTACCTAATGAATTGATCATCTACTTGAGTCATCTTTCAGTTTATGACATTTATTCGGTGTTTAACTGTACCGAAATTTTTGTAAATGAGTAAAATACTAACTGACACACGACCGAAATGATAGTGTTTAACACATACTGACTTCATCGGTGTAATTTGTCCTGAACAGTTGTACATTGAAGCTATATATGATCACAGAAAACAGGAAGTAGCAAACTTCGCATTAGAAATTTTATCTTGTCACGTTTTATAGTAAACTAGGCGGTTATTAAATTAGATATATTTACTTTGTTGAATGATATCACTGTTTTTCTAGAAAATAACAACTGTTTCTACTGGTAAATTAAGTCAAGATAGAATAAACCTGAAATCCACATGTTCTGTTTTTAAACTTATCAACAGTGTTGCAATTACCTAGAATTGACAAAATTTCGAAAACTTACACAACGACAATGAGGTGATAAATTGTGTTTGGTATTCGTTTCTGAAGGTCTGATCATTTTCATATGAAGTTACGCAGTGTATCGAATACTTTTAAATAACATCCCCAAATAACTCCGTCAGTCAAAAATAATGGAATTATGTAGTGTAAATGTTCAGTGTCTAAGCTGACACAACACTAGCATAACAACAAAAACTATCGAGATCTATAGCACAAGACTTGGAGTAGAAGTGCTAATATTGTATGAAAAAATATACATACATACAGTAAGTAAATCCGAATGATGTACGATCAACATAGGGTTTTAATATAATCGTACAACAATCTGGCTTGTAGAATAATAAATGCAAGATTACTAAATAAACATTACGGGGTTGTGAAGACTGTTAAGTTACACATTTTTGAAACCGTGAATGGATCAATGTTAGACCACCATTAGAAACCTGGAAGCACTGGACGGCCGTTTCGTCCTGGTGTGGGACTCCGAAGACTGTATGAGGTTGCGCAACTCCGTGAATTGATCAAGTTAGACATTAACACCGTTAGATACCGGCTCAGTGGTCCGATGGTTAGGCATTCGCCTAAAATACCGAAGGTCCTGGGTTCGAATCCTGCGGGGTGCAGGAGTAGTGGATGCGCACTGCTGAGGAGTCCCATACCAGGACGAAACGGCCGTCCAGTGCTTCCAGGTTTCTAATGGTGGTCTAACGTTGATCGACTCATGGTTTCTAAAATGTGTTACCAAATAAACAACACAACTGACCTTTCCTTTCCTGAATAAAGCCTTAATATTTTGTGGATCGCTTTTCAAAACAGTATCACAGGACATTATAGCAGCATCATATGCTTCAACCTATATTTGAAAATATTTTACATAAACGAGAACATAATAAGAATAAGACAAGTTGGATATTTATATGCATCATATTAAAAACTAAGTGAAATCATTGCATATTTATTTTACGTGCCAAATACTATCTTGAGTAGTGGTGTCAAGAAATATTTACCAGTTCATTTTGTCTTTCTTTTTCTCGTACAACTAACAGTTTCTAAAACATGTTATTAATGTTAAAGTGTTTAAGAAATGTAAGTCAGCGACTATACATAATTTTTTACCTAGGACTATAAATCTAAAATTGTCTACATAGATCGAAGTAGGCACTCAACATAATAAATAACGTCTGAAGTTGTTGAGTAGTTATTCCTAAATTTATAAGTCATTACCCGGTGTTCGATGCTCACTTACATACCTTTAGATACAAAAGATTCTACAGTGAATAGCCAGAATCTAAGACGATAACTATGGCTATTCCTAAATATATAAGATTAATACGAACCCAATGTATGGCTCGTAAATTTCGGAATCAGAAGTTCGTATATAGGGCTTCTAGACAAATTGATAGAGAGATCTAGGAAAACTACTCGATTACATGAAGCTAAATCTACCATGTAAGTGAATTGCTGGAGTTTATTGTCCAAACTATTCAATAATGGCAGCGCCAAATAAGACGATTAGGATTTACATCCTGAGCAGCAGTTTTAGGAAATCAAAGGTTTCTAGTTGGTACCCTAAAGATTATGCAAACCACAGGTTTAAAACCTTGTCAACCACGGTTCAAAATTGAAGTAAGCGATGAATTTGGTGTAAGTCTCCTGTCCACCACTAATAGTCAAGAACAGGATTTCCAAAACTATCCTACAATATTACGAATGTGACGCAAACACCACGTTTTTAAACCAAAGCAATTAGAAATTATAATAAATACATACAATACAAACATTTGGTGTATATTTTGATATAAATTCAAAAGAAACTCTTGGTAAAATATTGTAGGTCTGAGAAAAAAATAAGGAAAGTAGATTAGTAAAGAAATGATATTCAAACAAATACTTATTCCCATGCTTTACCTTCAACTGAGCTGCTGCAAGGTTATTTTCCAATTTCAACTTTGCATCATTAATAAGTTCTGTTGGACAGTTGGTTTCCGGAAATTTATCTCCTGACGATTGGGTAGGAGGTGCAGGGGGCAAGTTTAAAATTTTCAAGGCTTTGTTATAGCTATCGATAGCGAACGCAAATTCTTCCCGCCTGTCGTTAATAGATACCATTTTGTTCAGCTTTACCTACCTGTAGTAATAATTGCCTCTGTCTTTTTTCTGATTAGCAACCGCAAGTCTTTCGGAATTCGACATACTAGCATAACAAGGAGGATCATCAACTTTTAGAATTTCGATGCGATAAGTTAAATTTGCCCCTGATGGGATATCGGGATCTCTGGAGAAGAAAATTCAACAAAAAGTCAATGAGTACATACAATTCTCAACCCTGTAAGTATTATGTCTCTTTCCTTTACTGAAGGTCCCAAGCTCAGGTAAATGAAAAATAAGCATGAGGTTAAGACCGCGTCCGATAGAAAATCAACTCGCTAAAGAAACGCTGATCATAAAAAACAATTCAAACCATTTAAACTCTACCCGGGCATTTGGGAGGTTTTCATTTAGAAGAGTTATGACGCCACGTGACGAAAGCCTAATTTCTTCGGAAGTTACGAGGCTGATGCCACTTTTCACAACCAGAACAAAAACTATATAGGTACATGGAATGTTTGCATGTGGAAGACCGGAAGAACTACTTAAGTTGCCTTAGTCCTAAGATTAATGTAACTTGCCTCAGTATACAGTCCACTGTTCTTTTGAGTAAAGTTTTGTAAGGAACAATCAAACTTTAAGATAACTATTTGCGGGGCAGTCGGTGGTTGGGAGTGAACTTGAATTTCCTGGGTCGTAGACAACTCTTGTGGCTTTTAGCTTTGATCAAAATATACATGCAACCAATTCCGAAATGGATTCAAAAATTACGTATACTTAGTTCGGTACGCCAGGATTGGAAGTTTTCGGTTTCCTCACTATGATGTAATTAACAGAATACCAACGAAATTAACGAGGTTATCGACCCCAGACACTTTTCCAGAATCCTAGGTGAGTATTTTTATCAGAGTCCCAAAGAACAAGAGATGGAGAGTGTACTGTGTGAATAAGCGTGATTTTCGAATTCTGTACAGCTATCAATTGCATTACTAATACTTACTCAAGTTTGTTAAAAATGAACATGAAAAAATAGGAATCCGAAGGAAGTTAGTACTTTAAGGGCTACATCATTTAAGTAATAGAAATCACATTTTGCGTGAAAGTTAATTGTTGCAACCTACCGTCCACGAGATCCGTAGGCAAATCGAGAGTCAGTTGTCAGTTCGAATACCTCTTTGTGTTCGGCAAGCGGAATAGACAGATCGAACGCTAAACAGAAGTCACAAGTCGTAAATACCTTCTTACCATGTATTATATCATTGTCGCCGACTACTATTTTCACATTTTCGGCGTTATCAACAAGCGTTCCATCTTCCAACCAACATTTGTAATTTATAACAACAGAATCACCGTGACTAGGACGAGTTTCTCTACCAAGACCTTCTTCTAAAGTCTAGATACAAGTTAATGGTTAACTAAGTTTGCCTTTTTAATAACGAGACCATTTCCAAGAACATCAATTGTCTCCGCATCACTAGCTGCAACCTTCATTTCAGACGACTCAGATAATATAGCGTTAGCCACAGATTCATTAGTACTACCTTCTGTAGTTGGTTTTTCAGCCGCAAATTCATTAGTGCTGTCTCCTGCGGTTAGCTTTTCAGATGACTGTTTTACATTGGGACTTCTTGACTGGTGATCGTGTTTCGGTCCTTTCTTACGACCCATACGTTCCGCAACGTCTAAGTCCAGCGCCTCTTCCAATATCCAATATCTTTTTCACGAGCTAGTATAAACTAACCGAGTTCTTTGAGCTCGATTCTTGTTCTTGCCGTACAGTATTAGGTATTCAGTATTGTCCAATCGATATTAATCCAGCCACTTGATTGAACTAATTCTGGTCATTTGGCTGTTATTTATGAATTTTTACGTCCTTTGATCAGAATGATTGCGTCTGTTTCAGGGCAGTAGGGTTTCTGGATATCAGCTGCTATCACATTGCCAGGCCGGAGATAAGTTAGTTGCCTCAGGGAGAAAGTTCTAATGCTGATAATTCAAAGACTTAAGAACTCAGTAAGTAAATGGATAAGTTAGTTAATTGGTAGTAAATATTGTGTATAGAGGCAAGAGGAAACAGAGATAATGATCCGTAGAAATGGTACTAATCACCACCAGCAAGTCTGAAGACATGTATCAGGCATGGCCGGTTCAAAAGAGATATTAGTCTACATGTGAGTACGTGTCTCTTCCTGAAGCTATCCACTGAGGAGGCTGTGGTCACCTCGGCTGGGAGAACATTCCAAGCTTTGAGAACTCTTCATGCGGAAAAGTGAGTATGAACCTGGGTGTCAGCTTACTGATGCGGAATTTTTCAAGGATTACCTAGACGGGCGTGACGGTGAACTTTCGGATAGTTTGGCGTACTTGATATGATGTGTGCCATTGTCAGATCACCTCAGATTCTCCTGTGACTCACGGAGAATAATCCCAGGTGCTGGAGTTTAAGTTTTTGAGGTTTATTCTTCAACCCTATCACCGGCTTTAACTGCTCGTCTGTACACTCCACCACCAGGAGTTTTATGCCTCTTTTAATGAAGGGAGTATGACGATGTTGTAAACCTCAAGGTGTGGGAGTGCGTATGCTTCAAGCAGTGTTACGAATAATTCTGGGGTGATGGCATCAAGTTGTCTTCACATAAGACCAAGAGTTGCGTTAGCCTTGGCTTCATGCGCTGTGTAGTTTGAACTGTCTAGGCTTGCAATGGTCATAAGATCAAGATCGCGCTCTGAGGAAACGTTACTTACTTACTCCTGTTACCCCCAATGGAGCATAGGCCGCCCACCGGTTTTCTCCAACCAACTCTGTCCTGGGCTTCCCTTTCCAGTTCTGTCCAATGTTTGTTCACGCCTCTCATATCTTTCTCTATTTCTCGGCGTAATGTATTCTTTGGCCTTCCTCTTTTCCTTTTGCCTTGAGGGTTCCATGTGAGGGCTTGTCTCGTGACGCAGTTAGGTGCTTTCCGCAATGTGTGTCCTATCCACTTCCACCACTTCTTCCTGATTTCCTCCTCCACTGGAATCTGACTTGTTCTCTCCCACAGTTCGTTGTTGCTGATGGTGTCTGGCCAACGAATACGAAGTATTTTGCGTAGACAACTGTTAATAAACACTTGTATCTTCTGGATGATGGCTTTGGTAGTTCTCCATGTTTCCGCTCCATACAGTAGAACTGTCTTGACATTTATATTGAAAATCCTGATTTTGGTATTGGTTGAAAGTTGTTTGGAGTTCCAGATATTTTTCAACTATAGCAATGCAGCTCTTGCTTTGCCAATCCGTGCCCTCACATCTGCATCGGATCTACCTTTCTCGTCGATGATGCTGCCCAGATATGTAAAGGTTGTAACGTCCTCCAGGGCATCTCCATCAAGAGTGATTTGGTTGGTGCATGCTGTGTTGCATCGGAGAATTTCGCTTTTCCCTTTATGTATGTTGAGACCTACTGCTGCAGAGGCTGTTGCTACACTGGTCGTCTTCTCTTGCATTTGTTGTTGAGTGTGCGATAGAAGAGCCAGGTCATCTGCGAAGTCCAGATCGTCCAGCTGCGTCCTAACTGTCCAGTTGATACCGTGTTTCCTTACAGATGTTGACGTCTTCATAATCCATTCGATAACTAGGAGAAAGAGAAAGAGTGAGTGTAAGCAACCTTGCCTGACACCGGTCTTCACCTCAAATTAGTCTGTTAGCTGTCTTTCGTGTACGATTTTGCAGTTGAATCCATCATAAGAATTCTGTATGATGTTAACTATTTTCTCAGGCACCCCGTAGTGTCGAAGAAGAGTCCACAGTGTTTTCCTATCCACGCTATCAAATGCTTTCTGGTAGTCGATGAAGTTGATGTACAGTGGTGAGTTCCATTCAATCGATTGTTCCACAATGATCCGTAATGTAGCAATTTGGTCAGTACACGATCGATCCTTACGAAATCCGGCCTGTTGATCTCGAAGTTGGGCGTCTACGAAGTCCTCCATTCTGTTTAACAATACTCTGTTGAAGACTTTGCCTGGTATTCAGAGAAGAGTGATGCCTCTGTAGTTCTCACACTTGTTGAGATCGCTTTTTTGGTATGTTGATGAGGTATCCTTCTTTCCAATCTGATGGTACTTGTTCCTCATCCCAAATCTTCTTCAATAGGATGTGAAATATTTTCGCAGTTGCTTCTACATCTGCTTTCATTGCTTCTGCTGCAATGTTGTCTGGTCTTGCAGCTTTGCCGCTCTTGATTTGTCTGATGGCTATACTGATCTCCTCAATCGTAGGTGCGCCAATAATAATCGGGATGTCCGTGGATGCTGCTTCGATGTTGGGTGGGTTCAGTGGAGCTGGCCGATTCAGGAGTTTTTGAAAGTGCTCTACCCACCTATTTCTCTGTTGTTCAGTGTTGCTGATTACTTTCCCTTCCTTACTTTTCACTGGTCGTTCTGGTTTGCGTGATTTCCGGCAAGCTTCTTTGTAGTTTCGTACAATTGTCTCAAGTTTCCTTCTCTTGCAGCCTTTTCCGCCGTCATTGCTAGATCTTCCACATATTTTCGTTTGTCAGCTCTGATGTTCTTCTTCACTTCCCTGTTTGCTTCTGTGTATGCAGTTTGTGCGGTAACTTTCTCCGCTCTTGTTTGAGGAAACGTTAGGGGAAGGATTTTTATAGTTTGCTTCACGAGGGTCAGAATGTTAATGACGCGATATTTTGACTAGCTGCATTTTAACCCATTGTCCACTGCCTGTTCCTCGATCGCTATAAGGTCCACTGAGGCTCAGTTGAAGTGTCTTGTAGGTCTCCAAATCTTTGCGTCGTCTGTGTTGATTAGTGCCTCTGAGCTGATAATATCTAACAAATCATTGATTAAATATCACGAAGAGCGATAGACCCAAGAAGATCCCATGCAAAACTCCTGGTGTTATGACTCATCAGCTTGCATGCACTCTATTCACCTTGGTATGGAACTTTAAGGTAGTTTCTGAAAAAATATAGAAGTGGATCAGTGAAATCCATCTTCGCAACCTCGGGAATAAGGAGTATGTGATGTAGTGCGTCGAAAGCTTTTGTGAAGTCAAGGAGAATTAGGTCTTATGTATTTTTCTGTCCTAACGGACTATCCAGGTGTCCCATGCTACTAGAAGTTCCGATGGACAGGACCTGCTTTTACTACACTCTCATGAAGGATGTTGTTTTTATGGATATACTCACTCATTTACTCATTCGTCAGTTTTTCCATCTTTCTCGGCGGTATCAATAAAAATGCGTCTGGTCTGTAACAGGCTGGA